GTACAATAATATTACAAAGTTAACAGAAATTGACATCACATTCGGACTAAAATACTTAGAACAGACATTAGGTAGGATAAACAGACGAATGGCAGAAACATGCACATCAAAACAATGCAGAACGAGATTAACATAACACCACAAAGATCACACATAATATTAAGTATACATGCACTTATAAGTCTTAACAAAAACGTTTAGAATTGGTAACAAAGTCCTGCACAAGTGAAAATAGCTTAATGTTAATTGATGTTACATCAGGATGTCCATATAAAAACCATTGAAAGTGCATTGAAGTTAATGAGTTTAACCGTAAATACCAAGCAATTGTTCAGTGGCAGCAAAAAGAACACAACGTTCAGCAGCAAATCAATTACATTCAAAGAAGAATTGGAGCTCTGTTTCATTTGCTAAAGCACAACTACACATTGGTGATGCCACACAGTTCATCAGGAACAAAGGATAATTTAAAGTACTATTACGTAAACAAAATCGAGTATGCAATAAAGAAACCATGCAATTTCCAGTGGTAAATAAAGTATTACTTTTTGGCATTTTACGCCACTTCACATAGCTGTTTTGAAAACAAGCTAATGAGTGAGAGCTATGAACGTCAAGTGGCAAAGTGTTCCAAAGTTTGACTGAGGAAACTGAAAAGGATTTTTTAAAATGTTCAGTCCTAGCATGTGGAATATGATGTTCTCCGGTACCGAGATTGTAAGCTGTTATGGACCAAACTTGGACCGGACAGAGTTCCTGCAAATAGGATGGTGCAAGATTATTAAGTATCTTATAAATCATATTTAACTTATGATAGGTACGTCTTTCTTTCAATTTGACCCATGCTACTTCATTAAGCAACCTTTCACGAGATGTTCCCTTTATGGCACCCATAACCAATCTAGCTGCTTCGCACTGGAGTTGTTCAAGAAGATCATTATCAGTTTTGTTACAACCATCCCAAACAATATCTTCATATCCCAAGCATGAACGAACCAGAGATTTATGCAAAATATCAAGTGTTTTCCTGGTAAATGTTAACCTCATAGGTTTAAGCATATTTAAACGTTTTGAGGCTTTTTGATGGATTTTTAAATGTGTGAACACCATGAGAGATTAAACGTAAGTGTAACGCCTAAATGCTCATGCTGAAAAACCTCTTTGATTAACACATTTGATAAACAGAGAGGATGAAATGGTTTGTCTTTTTTAGCTGAAACGATCATGCTTTCTGTTTTTTCGGCACTCATTGTGACAAGCCACCGGTCAGCCTACGTTGAGATCGATCAAATGCTTTTGATATATCAAGAAAAACCGCTCTGACTTCACGACCTTTCCCTAAAGCTTTATAGATTTTATCTACAATAAGTTAGTTGCATAACCTGGTCGAAACCCGGATTGAAAAGGATGAAATAACCTTATTATTCAGAAAATTATAAAGTCTAACAAACACAACTTTTTCACAAATTTTGGATAGACTAACTATTAATGATATTGGATGGTAATTGCTCGTAAACTGGCGATTATTTTTCTTAAATAATGGTACAACATAAGCCATTTTCCCACAGGTTGGATATTGCCCAAGTAACAGAGATGTGTTTATTAAACAAGTAAATGGTTTAAAAATGGTGGCCGCGCACAGTTTCAAAATTTTATTACTAATATTATAAAATCCACAAGCCTTAGAAACGTCCAAATTATTTAAAATATTTAAAACTTCAAGTTCATCAATAACTGTTGTCGACAGCGTGTCCATTGACACACTAAGCAATGGCACAACAGCATGATCATCGTTAATAAGACAAGATTGACTAACACAGAGCTGGTTAAATGCCTCTGCTTTATCCTTGGTTTCAGAAATGGTGTTTCCATTGACAATCAGATCTGGCACAGGGGAGTGAAATTTATTACTCAACAGCGATTTGGAGAGTTTCCATCACCTTGCAGGGTTACCTAAATCAGAATTTACTTTTGATAAATAATCACATTTAGCTTGTTGAATCAGACTTACAACAAAATTTCTTTGAAGTCTGTATCATTCCCATCTTATTGTATTTTTATGTTTTGAATAAACAGATAAGAGTCTATCACATTTTCGAATAGCTCTACGAATAGAGCCATTCATCCAGGGCTTGTCTTTAGAGCAAATTTGATGGATTTAAATAACTGTTAACAAAATTATACAATATCAATGACAACTTACTCAGTAACAATATATAAAATATTTCTCTTAACTCATGAGATGACATTGGGTCATTCCAGAAAACATCATACCACCCCCATGGAGGTAATTGGAAGTTAACCCCCCTACCCCTGTCGGATGTCCTAATACATTTACTATTATCACAAACAATTTTTGCTCCCCTCCCTCTCCGGATGGCAGAAATTTCCTCTGTTGGGGGAGTGTGGATCTTTTCTGGAATGACCCATTGTTATTGTGTGGATCGGGACGAAGTCAGATTCTGTGATTGTCTAGCCGACAAAATCTTTGTGTGTTAAAGATTACAGAATTTGTTAAAAAGATTTGCAATAATAAGGGAAGAAATATTAAAATTGATGAGACAAAATGGTCGGCCATAATGTCTGTGCAGAGTAATCAGTGGACGGCCATAGCAGCATTTTGCTCGGCTAATGGCCGGTCGCCGACTATAAATAAGTGGAAAAAAGAACTTGACCATGCAGTATCCTCCTGTATGGACCGAACAAGCTCAGTCAATAAGCTATTTATTATCAACATGCTTTTTATCTGGAACGAACAACATTAATTTCTTTAGAAAAAGATTTTGTTTCCTGAGCTTCTATTGCCTTGTTTTTGCACATAAACTTTCAGTCACAGCACCATGACATGATAAAGCCATTCAGTGCTAAACTGAGCACCGCTGTGTCTGTTCAAAACATTCTTTCGATTTTTTATTTAATAATTTGAAACATGAAAGGAAATTTAATTCAAACAGTGAACACAAATTTTGCCTGTTTTGAACGATTGGAAATTATTTGTTTCTTAAATTGTGGGTGGTCTATAGTCCATACTGTAGGTTATCAACTGCTCAAAAACCAATCAGAATAGACTTGGACAGTTAACCGGTTTTGTTTGGTTTTCTTTTCAAAACTGGTTTTTGTTTCCAAAAACCGAAAAATATTTTTTCTTTTTTATGAAAAGCGCAAATACTAATTTTTGCAAGAAATGCTGTACAGAACCCTCATCCCTTGCCTGTGTGGACAAAGTATTATCTAAAAACATAAGCAGGCAAATCAGCTGGTTACCTAAAATATATCTTGTAATGGTTCACACGTTTGTAGCATTTCCTCCAGATGTGAGAGTCAGTTAGGTCTTATGAAATCATACTACGGCACGTGTTAAGTTAGAATTTCAAAAAAATCCTATGTTAGAAAATGAAAATTTAGCAAAAACCAGTTTTACGGTTTAACTGGTTTTGAGTCGGGACGTCCATACTGGAGGTATTGCATGGTCGAGTTATTTTTCACTTGTACGGTATATAACTGAGCCTTTAGGCAAGGTCCATATACAAGCAAAAAAAAGAATGAGACCTGCAGTAACCTCTAGTACAGACTGAACAAGCTTGGTCAATAAGCTATTTATTATATGGCTACTGCCTGGTACCCAGGCGTCTCTTTGTAAAAAACAGTGATGTGCATATGACGAGTTTACATGAAGTATTGTAGTGGGGAGAGATGGGCGAAGGGGCTGATGTGAAGAGTGCACTTGAAGTGCGAGACGGCTGGCAGTTCTTGGTCGATTTCTTGCAAGTTGTGCTATTTCATTGTCGTTTACGATTTTTTGCTACTTGTTTTTGTTGAATTGACTAATGCTAATATTCTTCTGTCAGCTGGGCGTGAATTCATGCTGTTATTCTTGGTATACATGACATATGCCTTATTTAAAGTCCATTGATATTGCAATATTAACATGTCAACAACTGAAGTGTTGAAGAACTAGACCTTGCAGGAACTAGATTTGTAAGCTATAACTATATAAAGGTACAAACTATAAAATTGCACTTTTGTAAATAAATATTTCAAACTTTACGGCTGTGAACTTTTATTTACTTGGGCTTTTGTTTACAGTATACATTTAATAGAAATTGCCATTGGCATATATTGTGATCGACTGATCAAGCCTTCAGCTAAAGATGTTATTAATACAAAAGAAATTATATGACTTTCTATTCATATCTCTGTTACTGTTTTATACTAAGCAACTGATAGCATTCTATTATTCTCCTTGTAATACCAAATGACATATTCGAAATATTCTTACGGTTAACTTGCCATGTAATTTACTCATAATTTTTCCCACATTTTGCATGTCATCAAACATCTGCAAATTTATTATTATTTGCCAATGGCATTCAATTCGACTCTTCGTCAGAAAATAAGGTTTTACACACAGAGTATTGACGATATGGTAACGTTTTGTATTAAATTCCATGCTTTCCTGCCATGACAGTATACAAGAACTGCCAGATGTTCCCCGGCACGCATCCTTCCCAACAGCCCCTTCGCACATCGCCTGCCTACCTGAATACTTAATGTATTGTAATTATTTAAAGCGCCTGGGTACAAGGCAGATATGGCTAAAAGCAAAAAGAGTTCAATAAAACCTATTAATAATTGAACATTTGCAAGCAAAATGTTCTTACAAATGTTCTTAAAACACTTTTATTTGTGTAAACAGTGTTTTAAAAACACTTACTGTACCTTGTGACCTTTTTTGGATTCTAGAATACTTGAAAGATTGGACTAGCCAGTTGTTGTACTTCCACTTATATTACCGGTATTCTAATTGACCAGTCAATAATTAATAATAATTGACCTATCATATTAACTTTTTTCTAGTCACCATTGATGATGCATTTTAACAAAATCTCCCATTTTAATATATCTGAAAACAACCTGGACCATCCTAATGAAAATGAGGTACTGTGACATTATTTATATGACAATATAAATATAGTTTAAACAACGACGTCCGCACAAACCTGCTCAATTGCATTACCGTTTACACAGATTTCGCCATTAATTCTTGATTCAAGAATTGTAACTTCTAGTTTTAATCCCTCAAAATCAACAGAAAGCATATTGCAAGTGTTAGCAGAAAACTCACCGTCCTTATCAGAACAATTCACCAGGCTTATATCTGTTTGAATGCCCACATCGCGAGTAGAAATTCCTTTGTTTGAAGAGCAATTTGCCTTCGACTCTTCCAAATCTCCAGTTTTAAGTTGATTGACTATTCTGTTTCTTAGTGTATTGCCAGAGATGCCACTAACGAGTAGGGATCTCTTGTTCACGTACCAAGTAATAGTTACTGATTTATTTCGAAAAGCTTTGCCACTGCAACCGGGGGAACTCCACTTGCCATCTTGGCCAAATAGAGCAAATACAAAAGCTTTCAAACTTCCTAAATCGCCCCACCATTTCAACGTTTCATCGCCATGACATTCAAGATATCCTTTGTACTTAACAAGAGCTTCAGTAAGGCAATATTCAGTTTGTATTTCTCGACTCTTGGATGAGCTATTTTGACTGTGACCGACCGCCATTTGCTGGCCCGCGCCTTCACCCCCCAGAAGGTCTCCTAAAGCATATAAAAAATTTTGAACTTTCTTTTGGATTACTGTAGAACAGAATAAAGTTGTAAAATCAGAAACCTCGCTAGTGGTTTGACGTTTGCCGTAAACGTCAATCTAAAGATCTCTATTAAACATTTACGGCGTTGCATTTATCCAAGTTTTTGGTTTCAAATTAAGTTCACTCCAATAACTGGGGAATTATTCATACTTTGACACTTACAGGTACCACCACCTGCAAGTATGAAAGGTCTTGGGTTCACAAAACACACTGTCTCCCTCGGTCTCAGTAAATAAGTGATAATTATTTCTCACAGTGCAAAGAGCTGCTGCAGCATATTTGCATTTTGAAAGCAATTTATAGTGTAGCTAGAATACTCAGACCTCAAATACATGCATACAGTAAATTGATTAATTATACAAGAATATATGCATATGCCATATGTATTTACGCCATGAATTTGAAATTTTTGCGCCAAAACTGTCCTGCTGTGCAAGCATACAGAAGATACAACAAAGGCCGTTTAACTTTATAGAATGGTGGATAAGCCAACATTAGAACAATCCAACTTTCGTAATATAGATATTTATGTATTCAATATCAAGTGAACTTAAATTTTCAATACACTGAATTTGTGGTATGTAGCTGAGTTGAGTATTCATGAATGCACAGCATCCCAAGCTCACATGTCATTGTTGGGGTATACTTGTATTTTTATTTATACTTTTAATATTTAGGAGCTTTAAACTTGCAATTTAATACACTTAACAAGAGCGCAAATAAAGCAGTTATAAACATACCCTACACATTTTTTGAACATGCGTTGTTGATGGCCCTGTCTGTCTCACACGTTTTGAAGTCGTCTTTAGACAATCTATCTTCTTATGAAGATCATCTTCAAGGGCAGTTTTGTCCTTGTTAACAATGGCTGTTACTTGCTCCCTCAGTGCTTTATTTTCCTCCACAACTTTCTCCAGGAGCATTACATAATGGTCTGACATTGAAACACTCATTTTCAAAATATAATTTATATAAAACCGTGTAACGAATCTATGCGACAGAAGACAATTACTCCAACACACCAGCCAACACATTTTCTCAACGAAGTTCGAAATTTGAATGAAAAAGTATTGACATTTGAGAGTCTCAAGTTTGTGAGTGTGTTGACAATTTCATACCGTGGGGAGACCCCTGCGTTGAAGATATGACATTCTGTTAAGTAATTGCCAGCTGCCAGGATCTTTATTTATACACCTACATGACATCGCTAATATATTTTTTATTTGAACTAATTTACGCATTGTTACATTTAACTATTATAAACAATTCGTGCGGGCACTAAATTTCATTCTGTTGGTGTTCTTGTAGCTAAAAACTTGGGTCATAAATTTAATACAACATTGCTAGCATAATTTTTGAACCGTCTGCTGGTTGAGAGCTTATGTAAAGCCAGCCGAAATAGTGCATTCTAGCGAGGTTTTCCACACTGTGAGTAGCACCCTTATGAACTATCGTGGGATACATAACGATCTGGAAGAAATCCCAGTGGCATCAGCACAGTTCACAAATGCTAAGCAGCGTCGTTTGTCTCGACCAAATGCTGAAGATGAGATCAAGAAAAAAAAACGCAGCAGAAGAAAGGGTAAGCGTAACAAAGCTAAGACGATCCTGAAACAAAACAAGAAGAAGAATAAGATAGCTAAGCTTGTGGCTGGTGTAGTGAAGCAGAAATAGAAGTCAAGAAATGTGCTATTTGTGCAGAGGAGATGAGAAAACAAGCTGTTTACTTTTGGAAGAAATGGAAGGTAGAAAGAATAAAAAAAAATAATGTTGAATCATAAGTCATTGCTTGCTGTTTATTAAATATGCATCAGTGAATTCCAGCATATTATCATCCCCCCGGCAATTGGTACATTTTCATTTTTCGGCAAAATTAATGCATTTACAAAAATATTTGCCCCCAAATGAGCCAGGGGTGATGACCTGATGATGTTGACAAATGTCTGGCTCCGTGTTTCAACTCGCTTCCTTGGAGTTTCGTGAGAAGGCCACAGGTCTACCATTTTGGTTGAGTGTGGCTGCTAAAGCCACATCCGAGGCGTCTGTCTCAACATCAAACGGAATACTTTCGTCAACAGCTTTCTCTATTGATTTCTTCAGGCTTTCGAACGCATCAACAGCTTGCTGGGATAGCGGGAAGGTCTTGCAGCTGGAAAGAGGCTTTACTTTATCTGAAAACGCTGGGATCCATCTCGCATAATATGAAAATAATCCCAAGCACCTGCTCATGGATTTTGAGTCATGTGGGATAGGAAGTTCTCGTAGAGGTCGAAGACGCTCTGGATCGGGACGAATTTCCCCTTCTTCTACTTCATACCCGAAAATAGGGAGGCGTTTGGTCGAGAACACACTTTTGTCATCGTTGTAGGTAATGTTCTTGTGCTCTGCGGCGTCCAGGAAACATTTCAAGTTCACATCATGATCCTGTTGATCTTTACCACAGATCGTGATATTATCAAGATATGGGAATGTTGCCTTAAGATCCTCTTCCTGTACGAATCTTACCATTTCTCGTTGAAAACAGGCAACACCATTTGTGACTCCAAAAGGAAGACGTGTAAACTGATAAAGACAACCCCGAGCTTCAAATTCTGTGTAAGGTTTGTCATCCTTTTTGAGGGGAACTGGATGGTATGCACTGCATAGATCAACTGTACTGAAGACTCTATACTGGGCAATTTGATTGACTAACTCATCAATTCGTGGTAATGGAAAAGCGTCCAGGAGTGTAAATTTGTTTATTGTTTGTGAATAGTCTATAGCCATTCTCTTTTTGTGGTTCTCGTCTTTCGTAACCACCACCTGTGCTCGCCAAGGGGACTTACTTGGCTCGATGATGCCTTCCTTGAGAAGCCTTTCCACTTCACCGTCGATGAACAACAAATCTTCTTGGCTGTACCATCGAGATTTGGTGGCAATAGGGTGGCAATCAGTGAATTCCAGCATATTATCATCCCCCCGGCAATTGGTACATTTTCATTTTTCGGCAAAATTAATGCATTTACAAAAATATTTGCCCCCAAATGAGCCAGGGGTAATGACCTGATGATGTTGACAAATGTCTGGCTCCGAGTGAACCTGCAGTTGCAAATGCAAGTCCGTGGAGATAAGTACACATGAAAATGCCCCATATCCAGGGAGGGGGGAGGGGTAACCGCTGGAACTGGCTGATGCATAATATCCATGTTAAATTAACCCCATTAGTGTGCAATGCACCCAAATGCACCCTACCTTACTCTGAGTATTTACTCTGTGTATTTACACTCGGGGAATTATCTTACACATTCGGGGAATCATGGGGACATAGATTTTTAATATATACATACTTATTGCCCAAACCCCTGAGGCCGGCTGACCTGACTAATCTAAATCTAATCCCCCAACCCATGGAGACAAAATTTGAAAAAATTACCTGCTACAGGGTTTTCAGTGTAGGCTGGCGAACGGCGAATTTCACCAGACTTTTTCATTCAACTCCACCCAAATTCGCCACAGCTTTTACGTTTAGTGTACCGAGGTCAAATGTAGCCACAAAATACTTGAAACCACATACAAAAGTCACTGATGTTGAACGTGAAGCAGATATGATAATGGGATTTGATCATCCAGGTAATTTGTGTACCTACATGTACCTGTATACATACATTTAAGCTATCAGACAATTTGCTGCAGCCCAAACTGGCAAACTGTTTAAATCAGAACAACATAGTCATTTTGGAATAAATGCACTTCTTAGAAGTCTGTATACGGTGGTACTGTAGTGTAAAAGGTTTTAACATTTTGAGCGAGACCTGGGGGGTCTGAAAAACTTTTTTGTCCTACATGTATTTTTCAACGTTTCTAGTAATTGAATAACCACAGGAACACAAGACATAGTATATGTATATATAAATCAATATTATGATATTTTCTGCATTGATGCAATGTACTCAGGTGAATATGATGCTTGTGATGTTTATAATCTGAGTGTATATCCACACCGGGCAGCTTGAAAAATATGCCTGTCCATGGTGGGAATCGAACCTACAAGTACGACCTTTGGAATACTAGCCCAATGCTCTGCCAACTCAGAGTAACATCAAAAGCATCATAATCACCTGAGTACATTACACCAACGCAGAAAAAATCATGATTACTAGATTACATTGGTATCAAAGGAACTAGATTCTGTTCCAAAATATCACATACTTGAACCGACCTGATCGCATACCTCAGTTGGCAGAGCATTGGGCTAGTATTCCAAAGGTCGTCACTGTAGGTTTGATTCCCACTGTGGACAGGCATACTGTATTTTTCAAGCTTCCATGGTGTGGATATACATTCAGAGTAACATGACAAGCATCAAATCAATATTAAATTAATATATGAGATATAAATTGTATAATAGGAATTTGAATGAAGAATATTCATGTAAATAGAGTGAAATAGCTTGCTTTAAGTAAGTTTATTTGATAGTCTACTCACCTTTTTATTAGGATTCCAAGAAATTTCAATGAGTTCTGATGCACTCGCTCTAAGACTAAGGATAATCCCTTGGTGCATGTGCATCAGAACACATTTAAATTTCTTGAAATTATAATAAAAAGGTGAGTAGACTATTGAATAAACTTAAAGCAAACAACCGGTATTTCACTCTTACACAAATATTCATTCAAATATTATACAGTTTATATCATATAATCTTGACTATATATACTGTACTACGTTTTGTCCTCCTGTGCTTGATATAAACTGGCAATATATTTTCATCTCTACCGAAAAAGTAGGACAAATTAACAATTCCTAGGAAAAAGTTCAATTAGATCACCAGTTTTAAACTTGTTTTCTTTAATTTTATATTAATGCTCGCCATTTGTATTTGGTGTGAATACTACCTGTAAACCTTATTTTGTTGTGCTGGAGTTCTACGGAATTAGTGGACACTGTCTAACACTTGCTAAAGCCTCCAACAAGAAGGTATTTGCGACTTTATCAGAGTGGGCTAACATCACAATGCTGAAATGCACTTGCCCACATACATAACAAGAATTATATTCATTGTGACATCAAAGGTGACAACATAGTTATACGACATGGTTATAGTGACTGTGAAGAACAGTATTCAGCTGTTATAATCGATTTTGGGAAAATGAAAGAGTCGAGTAAGGCTAAGCTCTACAAGTTAAGTCTGAAAGAGCAAGAGAGATATGGGAAATACCATAACCACATTGCCCCAGAGGTTGTCTGTGGAAAACAAACTCAGTTGGCTGCAAATGATATTTATTCTTTTGGTCAAGTAATCTCCCTAGTTTGCCACTACAATCATTATGAGGAATTAAGAAAAATTGCTGTGCAATGCATCAATGGCACACCTCCAAGGCGGCCAAAAATTGACAATTTAATTTTACAATTGAACTCATTGTGCTAATCAGGAAAATTCTGGATATATTGTACAAGACAACATCATATGCCAAAATTTATTTATTGTAACCTATTCAAGCAAAGACTATTTTCCACTTACATGTATCGCAAATCAATCCATCATTTATTTAATCATGTTACCTTCTGGAGCAAAATATTCAGAAAGTATATTGTATTTAACAGATATAAAACATTTTTGTGGTGTTGATATACAGTTATATCAACACGAGTTGGGAAAACGAGGATAAACACGACGCCCGAAGGGCTGAGTGTTTTCACAGAATTTTGAGTTTTCCCAATTTCCATGAGTGTTGATATAACTGTATATCAATACAGAAAAAATGTTTTAGATTTGTTTTATAATATAGCACAAAGAAACATAAAGAAATAAATTTTATGACATTTCCATGTTGACATTGAGTTATATCAACACGGTTCTTAGCCAATCAGCATTCAGATTTTACAAATGCTATATTATAAATAATTATTCATACATTACTGTATATAAATTATGAAATACATGTAACATGCAAAGCCAACTTCCAATCCAGATTTGAGTGCTAGCATTGACAATTTTTGAATGCATGCGGATACTCTGTGGCAGGTTACCAGAGACTGTATAAAACAATGGTAAGTCCAGAACTAAACATTTTAATAATTCCACCTTTCGATTTAGTTTCAGTCATCATCATTCCGGATGATTGATGAAGGAAACTAATTCAAAAGGTAAAATTATTAAAATATTTATTTCCGGAGTTACCATACTATGATTGTGTGTTACCATACTATGACTATGAATATGTACTATTCTGTGTCCACTGTCATGGTACTGATTTGAATTATCTTGTTTTTTAAAAATTGTCAATAATGAAAGAGAAAACATTGCACTACTAATAGCACATCATTCCATTATCACATTGAGGAAAGCTGAACCTAAGTTACTCTATACACGCTATGCATAATGCTCTTTTTGCACTCAGGACCTGGAAACGAGTCACACTATTATACACATCGTGTATACAGTACATGTACTGTAGCATGCCTAGAAAAGTGTTTTATCAAATTATGCTATGTATATTCTACAATACACGCTATGGATATTGCCCTGTTTGCAATCGGGACCTGGAAACAAGTCGCATCAAAACAGGTTTCAAGAAAATGTTTGGGACTTTGTTATGACTTATGAGTAATATCTTGCTGAATTTTAAAAGATCAAGCTACTGAATGTATGCTCTCAGTTTTTATATCTAAAATAGGCCTATTGTTAACCATTAACAGGACACATTTGCAATTTGGAATATAGTTTTGTTTTCCCATTCAAGACATTTTCCTGGATAAGTAAAATTGTCTCGCATTAGACTGAGTAAATTGTTGTAGCTTATACAGAGTAAAATTCTAAAGTTGGGGCATTTTGAGTATACAATTATATGATGCACACTTTGTTGAAATGTGTTGAATAGGTAAAAACCTTGAGGTTCCTCCAGGGAACTGCTGGCTCTTGTTTACAACATGGAGAGGATTTAGACCAGCAAATGTACCAACCATTGTGGCAACATACCAGGTAACACACGCAAAAACATTTAATAATCAAAGACAAAGACAACAAATATGAACACAAAAGACTTAATAAACAGTATGGACAAGTACGTTTTTAGTTCGCTTCATCTCATAAATATGTCTCTTTTTATTGAACAAAAACAGAAATTTTCAGGGAAAAAATGTAAATCTGTGGCTGCTTTAGTTGTAGTTTTTATTTAGGATGGTGTCAAATTCCTCGGCTATCTGCAGATAAAATTTGCAGCTCTCCACAAAGTCAAAACACAGGTATTCCTGATTGCTTTAATAGTTATAAACATTGACAATATTGTAAAATTCACCTTGTAATTTCGACTTTCGCTAACAAAAACGTCTTGAGAAAGTTCTTTAACAACAGCAGTTGCTCCTTTTCTTTATTTTAGGTTTATTTCTCTTCATTTTGAATAGTTTTGAAAGACTTTTAGACACTTTTTTCCATTTGAAACTCAGCTCTCGTAGCAGGGCACTAAAAATTGTGTATTGCCGTGGGCAATACAGGAAATCCTGCCTCAGCAGCCAATCAAATTGCACGATTCACCAAAACAAATGCTTGCCATATAATAAAAAAAGAATGTAAAAAAGTACAGTCATAGACTCAAGAGTGACATACTATACCAAGGCTGAGCTATTGGCAATATTGGAGAAAAGCCAGCATTCCAAATCTGCCCCATTTCAAGCGATGAGCCATTTCTTCCGAGCACAAAGACTTGATTTGAGCAATCCATGTGAACATCTCCACACAATAGTTTTTAAACGAGTTAGACAACTTAAAGTACACAAATAGCTTTTTCTTATTGATCATGCTTCTTTCTCCATCACCCTCTTTACATGTATCGATCAACTGCATGAAAAAAACTACAAGTTCAGTAACATTGAGCCCATTTGCCCTGTCAAAAAAGTATAAGTCAATTATGAATATGGTGTTCCTAAAATATTGAGAGCATGAGAATGCTGAGGACGCTGGTGCGGAATGGCTGATTAAATGCGGGGTACCTCAGTTGCAGGTGGTACCGTCAGCGTCTACCGTGGAAGCCCCGGCAGGGGACATGAGTATGGGGTTGGATGCAGAACCTTTAATAGCAGTAGGTGAAATGGTTTCTGACGATTTTAAGGACCGTCTTGCTTGGGACATGGAACAGTTGCGAAAGGACATTAGACAAATTTATGAGTAAACATTAGAGGACAGTAGAAAAGTATTTTAATAAGCAGTTGAATAGATACAACGTTTTGTATTGCTTATAGTAATAAAGTGTCCTTTTTTTTAATAAAAATGTTTGATTAGTGTTCATTGATCCAGTAGGAGAGATAGTTGACGATGGGTTCGTATTTAAGATGGGTTGATCCTTTTCTGAGATTCATGAGGGTCTGAAGGGTGGTTTCGTAATTTTTCCATAGATTCATGTAGTGAACGGAAGCTTGTGCATGATAACTTAATTTCATGACGCGGATAGCTTCAAGGAATTCTTTCCATACAATGTTTTTGGTGTGAATGCGTTCTATTGCTTCCTCGCCGTACATAATACATCCTTCGTCAATGGTCATCATCAGACATTCGTGCCTTCTTTGACTTGGATGATTTACTTCGCAGCCGCAGCATTTTTCGGTGCGTAGTTGTTTGATTTGATCGGCAACAAGATCAAGGAGTATAGCATCGAGGAGATTGCGCATAGACTTTCCTTTTCCGATGGCGCGACTTCATCAACACTTAGATTGTTTGTCCATACGAATGATGTACTGCTGTTACTCATTGTACTTTAGAGTAATAGTGAGTGGTTTTTATAGGCATCTTTTGCATACGTACGTGTGTGCGTACGTGCGCACGAGCGATTGTTCTGGGGAAGTAGTGGTACAATGGAGATGTTGAGGAATGTGATGGGTATATTGGATATGGATGGTTTTTGTATAGGGTCGCATTTTTTTGACATTGGTATGAAGTGGAGGGATTTGGATGCAGGGGCAAGGAGACAGTGCGGTTATGTAATACGCAATGTGCACCATTTACCGTTTGGGGTTCCGAAGGGGTCGGGGGCTGTGAATTTGGAGCAGCTGAAGGGGATTGTGCTGGAGTTTTATTGGCACCATAGGACAGATGTTGCGTGTTGCATGTTTGCTGGCGTATAAGGGCGGCTGTTATGAAAGGGACCTTTTGGACAGGTTGGGGATACCAGGTATAAATTTGGAGACGTATGGGTGTCCGAAGGCGGAAGTGCTGTTTGATCGACTGGGATGGCTGGAGACATGCGGAAATCACTTGATTACCAAGGGGGCATACAGGCATTGTCCTAAAGTGGAGACTGAAGCATTTGGATATTGGTTAAATGAAAGCTTGCGACAGGTACGTAATGCTTGCATGCTATTATGCGTACGTACGGAATAATTTGTCTGTGTATGCTTTTGTCTGGGGTCCGGATCGTTTTTTATTTTGGAATGGAGGATGCAAGGAATGTTGCCGAAATTCTTGTTGAAATGGGTAGTGAGGAGTATGAAGCGGCCAGGATTCTCATGAGTATGAAGTGTCCGGGAAATATTAATAGTCAACCCTCTCCAGGAAATACAGGTGTTAGCAGGCAGTCCCCTCCTGGACCGAGTGTTCCCCAGCGTATTCCTATGATGATGTTATCGCCGTGGGCAGCGGCACCGGTATTACCAGTATCTACCCCATATATTTTATGGCACGGTAAGTGGGGATAGGTGCATATATGCTTTAGTTAGGGGGCACTGATTCTAAGGGTTCCTTTTTTCTTTTGAAAGATTTAGACTGCAGAAGATGACATGGGTTTACAGCAGATGAACTGAAGGCATTGAAGGAATTATATGTGAGCAGCGGGGGATATCCCACAGTGTTGGAGAGAAGGAGTTTAATGGTGCGGTTTGGCCTGTCAAGGGAAAAGGTGTTTGGATGGTTCCAGAACAGGAGGGCCCGGAAAAGGAAAACAAGAAAGAACTACTGAAAGAAGTGAATTTATATTAAAAACATTATTTGATAATTACGAAAATATTAAGATTTACAATTGATGCTTTTTAGCACTGAAATATATATATATATATATATACAATTAATTGATAAATGTGTGTTTTCCTTAATTAAGTTGTCCGGTTACTGGTTCATTATCTAATATACTGTTTAGGTAGGGATCGTCAAAAAGATTAAAGTTTATGCCGTTGAGGTCTAGTTCATTTATAGTTGATAGGTCCGTCAGGATGTTCATGTCGTTAAAGGATTCTGTGGTCTGCTTGGGGAAGTGCTGATAGGGGGGTATGGTGGCCGCGGGTATAGGGTTTGTGGCATCGTTTTCATCTTCTGCCTGGTACTGCTGTTCAAACTCCTCCACAACAAATTTGTATTTTTGTACTACAAAGTTCCAAAATGCTTGGTTCTTCTTTTGTTTGTCCTTGGCCCTTTGCCTATTCTTCCGCGACCTGCCGGCCTCACGTAGCGCATAAGCTCGCTTCTTGTCCACTTGTATTTAATTACGAAAAAAACTTGCGCGGGACAACTTTTAATTTTTGGATTAAAACGTTTTTTGATGGCGTTACCGTAGCAACATAGTTTTAGGATGGCGTTGCATACGTACGCAGTGTAGAGTATATAAGCGCAGAGCAGGCATTATTTGGGTAAATGATGTTTTATTTGTGCAAGGAAAGTACTCTGTAATTACTGAAAAAGGTCTGATTTTAGTGTTTGATTATTCAGGGAACGTAATTTAAGGGTAAGTGTTGTGAAAATGCAGGATTGTTCGTATGAGAGTATACAGTGTTTTTCCGACTACTGCTCTTTTTCTTTAGGCATGAATATTGTACGAAGGATTCTTGCGTGTGAGACGACTGATGAACTGGCAGCGCTGGAAGGCCTGTATGTTCTAAACGAGTATGAACAAGGATTAGTGTACAAAAGAAAGGTTGAGATTGTTTCGCGTTTGCTGGAGTGGGGTATGGAAAATGAACAGCAGGGATTAGTGGCGAATCTTTCTGATTCATGGACACCGAAAAAGAGACGTAGTTTTTTGGCTGAATGGAACAATGATGAACCTTTTCAAATGATACTGAACAAAGAGGCACTGCAGCATTCAGGCGACAAACTACAGTCAGGACGTGGGGAAAAAGATCAATCGACGAAGTGAGCGAGAGTGCAACTGACAAGGTTAGCGAGAATAATAATTTTACCGTAACAAATGTGAAACAAGTGCAAGTGAAAAAGTTTAGGACTACAGGTACGGATTATACCGTACGATTTACGAACATGTTTGTGAACATGGAACTTTCTCAGTATCACAATTGGCTTCACAAGATATTTGAGAGTTTATTGAACACTGTGGTCAAAGATGTGCCCGAAAACGACTAGGTCCGTTTTGTGTTGCAATCGCCTCAACTTGAAAAACCCATTTCTATTCCTTTCTTATCTGCTTCTCGACTTACAACCGAGCGCATTTTAGCTCAAATTGAGCGTTTTGTACAGTCCAATCACGAATTTCGTCTGAATGATTCCGTGAATGTCAATGTGATTCATGTTGAAATGCCCCAAGGAGGAACTGGCACAAAACGTTCTGAAATCAATTTAGAAAAGCATTTAACAAACAAAAATCGATTATTCGTATTCAAAATGAGGACAACATTTGTTTGGCTCAGGCTTTAGTTGTTTCTATTGCCAAAATTGAAAGTGATCGTAAGTATAAGATGATAGTTAACCATAGGAAACCGTTGCAGGGACGTTTAGCTCAGGAATTGCATGAAAAAGCAGGTGTTTTGATCGGAAAGTGTGGCATAGATGAGGTGAAACAGTTTCAGACTTATTTGGCTGATTATCAGATTAATATCGTTTCGAAAGAACATCAGAATGCTATTATTTTTTCCAGACCTGACAAGGAAAAAAAGATTTATTTGTTTTTGCATGATAATCATTTTGATGTAATCACAAGCATGCTGGCTTTTTTTGCCAGAAAACGGTACTGTCACACCTGTAAAAAACCGTATGATAAAACAGTGGATCATATGTGTCCCAATGCATGTCAATGTTGTCGTTTTCCAAATTGTCCGGTTGTTTTGTGGGTTTCCTGTGTTGATTGTAATCGTATGTTTAAGAGTCAAGAGTGTTTTGATCGCCACAAACAAAACATAGGGCAGGAGGGTTTGGTTTGTGCTTCTTTGGTGAAATGTCCACGCTGTAATAGTGTTGTCAAGCGGGGGAAAATGAGGTCTGATTTGCATCACTGCAGACATAGTAAATGTAAAGTGTGCAAGGAATACGTCGATCCTAAGCATCAATGGTGTTACATGCAACCCGCGAAAGAAAAGCCTACCCATGAGGACATGTCTGATGACGAAGGCAGTGATGAAAGTGGTTATAACGAACTGTTGTTTTTTTACTTTGAGTGTCGTCAGGAGAACGGTACCCACGAACCAAATTTATGCGTGGTTCAGAACGAGGCTGGTGATGAGTGGGTGTTTAAGGGGAATAATACACGAAACGAGTTCTGTGAATGGTTGTTTACAAAAGAGCACCAGGGATGTATAGTGGTAGCCCATAACTTCCAGGGTTATGACGGGTATTTTATTCAGCAATACCTACACGAAAATGGTGTTATTCCCGAGGTTATCATGCATAGCGCAAAAATCCTTTCAATGTATGTACCTATGCTTAAGATTAAATTTATCGATTCTTTGAGTTTCATCCCTATGAGACTGGCTGATTTTCCCAAGACCTTTTGCCTGAATGAACTGGAGAAGGGATATTTTCCTCATCTGCTTAACAAGATGGAAAATCAAAATTATATTGGACCCCTACCATCGAGTCCCTATTATTACCCCGACAGAATGAGTTCCACAGAGAGAGAAAAGTTTATGGAGTGGCACAATGGTTTAAAAGAGAACAGTTATTTGTTTAATTTCCAAGAAGAGATCCTAAGTTATTGTCGGTCTGACGTGGATATTGTACGGCGTTGTTGCCTCGAATTCTGTGAACTGTTCCGTGATATCACAAACATTGATCCATTCAAGAAATGTCTTACGATTGCGTCTGCGTGCAATCTTGTGTTCCGGACGAATTTCCTTAAAGAGGGTACCATTGCCATTTTGCCTCCTCATGGTTATCATCCAGGAACTAAACAATCTAACATAGCCTTAAAATGGCTGTCTTATACTGCTGAGAAGAACGACATATACATTCAGCACAAACGCAATGGTGGAGAGAAAACTGTTGGTCGCTATTCCCTGGATGGTTACGACGAGGAAACACATACAGCGTACGAATTTCACGGTTGTTTCTGACATGGTAAGTTTCTTTTCCCTGTAAGAAAGAGCTAACCGTTTTTACAGGTACCTTTTCCTTGTGAAAACTCCCCAGTTAATCAGTTGTACTTTTTTTTACAGGATGTTTAAACTGTTATGCCGGGGATACCGTGAATAAGGTGAACGAAAAAACCATGCACGATCTCTATCAAGCTACTGTGCAAAAGACCCGAATACCTTAGAGGACATGGCTTTCATGTGGTTGAAATGTGGGAATGCAAAATCAATCGAGAGCTGAGACACGACGAAGAAATAAAGGAATACTTTGACAACTATGACCTTATGGATCCTTTGGAGCTACGTCATGCATTTTATGGTGGGCGAACCAACGCAACGAAACTTTTTCATGAGTGTAAGGATGATGAGGAGATTAGGTATGTTCGGGAAAAAAAGGGATAGGGTACCCTAGGGTGTAAAACCACAAACTAATGCACTAATTTTCTTAGGTATACCGACTTTACCAGTCTTCATCCGTGGTGTAACAAGATGACCCGGACGGTTATTGGTCACCCTCGTGTTATCACTGAGAATTTCGGGGATATTTCCACTTACTTCGGATTGATTAACTGCACGGTACTTCCACCTCCACGACTTTTTCACCCCGTTCTTCCCTACCGTACCCAAGGCAAGTTAATGTTCCCTTTGTGTAAATCGTGTGCAGACATGTGCAATCAGAGCCCCTGTACCCATTCCGAGCGCGAAAGAGCCATTCAGGGAACGTGGTGTAGCGTTGAATTGGAGAAAGCCCTGGAAAAGGGTTATAGTATCCTGCAAATGCACGAAGTGTGGCATTTTCCCGAAACCTCTGTTAACCTGTTCAAAGACTATGTGAATACCTTCCTGAAAATTAAACAGGAATCCAGTGGGTACCGACTTTACCAGTCTTCATCCGTGGTGTAACAAGATGACCCGGACGGTTATTGGTCACCCTCGTGTTATCACTGAGAATTTCGGGGATATTTCCACTTACTTCGGATTGATTAAGTGCACGGTACTTCCACCTCGAGGACTTTTTCACCCCGTTCTTCCCTACCGTACCCAAGGCAAGGTTAATGTTCCCTTTGTGTAAATCGTGTGCAGACGTGTGCAATCAGAGCCCCTGTACCCATTCCGAGCGCGACCCAAGTAAATTGCTGATTATGCACAAAATAACTAATATGCCTGGCAGAAATTAAATTTTCTTATTTTTCACCCTGCTCGGTTTCCTTTGTTCTTGTCAGGGAATATATTTCAATATTCCCCTCTTATCAATTTCCGTTTAATAATCCCCTCTTTAATAATCCCCTCTAATATTCACCTGCAATCCTCTTTGCAGCACAAAAAATGAGAAAAAACAACATCGCGAAGGCAATATGGCATCAAGAATTATTTCTTTTCTGACTCATTAACAATAATCCCCTCTAATATTCACCTGCAATGTCTTTGCAGCACAAAAAATGAGAAAAAACAACATCGCGAAGGCAATATGGCATCAAGAATTATTTCTTTTCTGACTCATTAACGCGACCTCGCAGTGTGAAAAATAAGTATGTTATTTTGAGGCACCTCGGGGATATGTGTTTATTCACCTCGGTGCTGTGCACCTCGGTGAATAAATCACATATCCCCTCGTTGCCTCAAAATAACCTATGCTTATTTCCTAAAAAAATATCATGGGATGAAAAACTATGCTTAGTTCAATATAGTTATTGTGGATTTCATAAGGATTGTCATTGTTTTCTTTTAGTATAACACATTTTATTTCACTTACCCCCCACGGAAACACAACTTCAGCCATACTTTTCCGTCTTGTTTGCCTTTTATCGCCGAGTCTCGCAAATATCATTCAGTTGTTGTACTTTTACATAATCATAAAGGGCTAAAGAATATTTCAACCAAATTTCATCAAGTTGTAAGACAGTGCAGTGTATTTTACCTTCGATATTTCGTCAAATTGCCGCCATTTTAATGGCTCGCCGCTTCTCTGTCCGATAAATCCCACTTCTTCATTTTCATATGTATTTAGAGTACTTCATTGTATTTAGGTACTTCGAAAAATTGATAATATTTGTCCCATTTGGAAGGAAAAACCCTCGCGTATATCATTTAGGTTCAAAATAAAAACAATTCATTTGAAAGTCACACGCAATCTTTGTGGTGACATGAAATGTTTGTTCGCCACCAGAGAAACATAACTAAATATATTGTATTATTTGTATTTTTATGATAAAAACAATAAATATTTGCGTAGTTTTTGTCATAAATCATAAAACTACAATAAATACAATATATTTAATTATGTTTCTGTGCTGGCGAACAAACAGTTTGTGAAAATATTCACCGCCCCTGTCATATGTGTCCACAAGAAGTTTTCGCGAAGATTGTGTGTGAATTTCAAATGAATTTTTATTATTATTAACTTTACAATCAAATGACCGATGGTAAGGACAACAGGACGTGAGTCCCAAATTAGGTCCCATCAAAAAAAAAAATTTGAACCTAAATGGTATACGGGAGGGTTTTCCCTTCCAAATGGGACAAATGTTGTCAATTTTTCGATTGGGACTATTATACAATGAAGTACTCTTGGATACTGTAATCTAAATACATATGAAAATGAAGAAGTGGTTTTTATTGAACAGAGAAGCGGCGAGCCATTAAAATGGCAGCAATTTGACGAAATATTGAAGGACACAATATCGAAGGTAAAATACACTGCACTGTCTAACAACTTGATGAAACTTGGTTGAAATATTCTTTAGCCTTTTATGATTATGTAAAAGTACAACAACTGGATGATATTTGCGAGACTTTGCGATAAAAAAGTATGGCTGAAATCGTGTTTTCGTGGGGGGGGGGTAAGTGAAATAAAATGTGTTATATTAAAAGAAAACAATGACAATCCTTATGAAATCCACAATAATTATATTGAATTAAGCATAGTTTTTCATCCCATGATAATTTTTTTAGGAAATAAGAAAATTTAATTTCTGCCAGGCATATTAGTTATTTTGTGCATAATCAGAAATTTACCTGGAGTGGTGCATAGTCATTTTCTGGTAAAACATTATACTTAGACAATTTTTTCTTCCAATGACCACCCCTAAAAGCAACCCTTCTGAACACTATAAGCACTTCAGAAAGGCTATTGCTTTTCCTTTTTGGAAGTTAGAGCTATGTCGACACTGCTGTTTCAGGGTGGGGTCATTTTCAAGACTTTTGTCCCAGATTCAGGTTTTGGCACATATGCCATGTTGACCGCCATGGTCATTTTACCCTAAAACAGTTGAGATTACCTGTCCTAAATGAATCACATACAAACTCATATACAGATCCTGCAGGCTCTCTGAGACAGCCTGCTCGCAGTCTATCCAACATCCAATTTGCCGCACGATCACTTCTCAAAATCGTTGCAAACTTTTCAGATTATCGTAATTGACAATCGTCATAAAAATTGTCTAGTGGAGATCCACCTTTAAGCAATTAGCAGACTGCTTGTATGCATACCATAATAAAAACTTGGAAAAACAAAAAACTGTCCAACACGAGAATCAAACCATGTCTCGTGTAGTAAGAATGATTGCTGATGATGCAGCAGTCGAACATCAGAAGAAATGTGCATTGGCCCAAAGGAGAAATATCTAAACATATAGACCAAGCTGTACGAAGAGCTGGCAAGCAAGTTCCAGTGGTTCATCTGAATACTCCATTTGAAAGTAATTTGGAACAATTTCAGTTTTCAAATAATTGCAGTTTCAGTTGCAGTAGATATGTTATGCTTTTGTCCAGGAGACTCCACAATATCCACTGTATGCCTTGTACAAGTTAGTAAGAATCATCCACAGTCAGCACAGTTACTTCAGAAAGTTTGGCCTCAGTTAAAAGAATATCACACAAAATCCCAATGACGAGTCTTCAAAGCTAAGCTACAGAATGTTGCAAATGTCCTTCCATCAGTTGCTGATCTTATTTACAAGGAACCGACTCTTGATGCAAGTGCAGCAGATCACCCTGATACACGGGGAGACTCAGATTAATTTTCCTTGGTGAGTCTGACCATCTAGCAGACTGAAGACATTTGAATCTTGGTCAGCCAAATCATACCTTTGACAAATTCTTTTGAAGTTCAGAGCTGATAAACAATGACACAACACTGCCCACCTGTCAGATGATAGAGCATGGCAACAATGTCCGGATGGTACTCTACTACCTAAACGATTGCCATGCCTTTGGTTTTCCCCAGGAAACATGTACACTCATGCCGCTCCGAATTTTACTTCAAAGATCAAAGTACAGTTCAAAATCCAGAGAAGACAATTATTGACCATTATTGTGCAGCACAACTAAAGTACCCGAGTAAAAAAGCCATTGAAATGAAAGAAGATAGTGTAATTTACTAAATACAGTAGATGAATCTTTTGTACATAGTCAAATTCATACAGTTGGCAACGATGCAGTCTTCTAAACAGCATCTGGATTTCAACATGTGGCAGTAACTGTAAAGCTCATGGAAGAGAAGCAGGGTCTTAGCTAGGATTTTAGATCTTGGGCGTGTTTCTAATGACCAGGGCGTGCACATGTCAATTACCTTGAATAGCAAAATCACGGTTCTAGTTATGCTCGCCAACAATAATGCTTGTGGTTGTTCTATGCTTTGCAACCAAAAATACAAGGCCAGCATACGCTCATATTGCGCACTGACATTAAAATATGAAGTTATTTCAGCAACTGTTGGGGGTATTTAAAACCATTTTAACACCATACAGTTCCCATTATCCATCAAAATATTAAAACATCACGAATCACTTTTGCCAATTCAACAACAACAGTAGATTTTACAAACTTTCTTACGACGTAAATAGGACGAAATTCTGTCTGTTGTAAGTAGCACCACCTTATTTTATGAACCTACACGGCCTTATATAAATAATGAAGTCGCGTTCATTTTATCTAGCCGTGTTTTTCCACTTTTGGCCGCGATAACACGGCCAACACGGCCCTCTAGCTAAGACCCTGAAGAGAAGCACCAGCCCCCACCAGTAATTTACAGATGGTGGCACATACCAAAGAAATAATTTAGAATTAGTAAAATGTATCAGTATTTTTAAAAGCTGAATCTTGATATGTACATTTTGGCCAGATATGCACCCAGCCACAGCTGGATCAACCCTGCTGAACGAGTCATGTTCATCCTTAATCTGGGCTTACAAAATGTATCACTGCAGCATCAGCGGACGTCCAATGCAACAAAAAAAGCTCTGAAAGATTTTGGAAGTATGGATGACATCAGAAGACTGGCTCCAAAATTTCCAGAGACCAAGAAGTTCTGGGCAGAAACAACAGCACCACCAAAACATATAATTGAATGTTGCTTTTCCCAATTGAAATTGAAAAACCAGCTAATTGAATTGATGTCCCTGTTTCTGAAGGTGACAATGCTTTGATATGTTGCATAAAGGAACTGTTTCACTGCAGAGAGAAAATACACATTTCAGATTAGGAAATGTATCAACCAACAATGCTGCTTGCCTTCCACACTCCCTCGTGAGATGCTGAAGTGGTTGAGATGCTGTACTAGCTGAAGATACAGATAATTTTAAAAAGTAAAATGAGGTAATGGGTAAGGGCACACTTGGTAGTTTGCTTAATGCCAGATCATTTTACAGTATTCTGACAGCAATGTACAATGCTAAGATTTACCATTGGACTTAAATTGTCAATATATTTATTCTGATTAAACCACTGAGTAGCAACACTCTTCCCTTGACAAGTAAAATCATCTGGTGTTGGACAAAGTAAAAAATAAAATAGGCTGCATCAGGGCGCATTGCCTTTAAGGGTTAATATTATCCTGTTTCTGTACACAGCTAATTGCATTAAGGTTGTCCTCCGACAAAGCTAAAAGGTAAAAGCCAAGCGTGAAAAGTACAATGGGTGTTACGAATTAAATATTCATCTCGCATGTATATTCATTACACAGAAAAAAAGCGTGACAAGAAAGCAAGTTTGAGTAATTGAGTCCGTTGAGAAAGCGAATGATTAATGACATTTGTAGGAATACGATAAAATTATTTTCGGCGATTTCTGTTGACCAGGAAATTGTTATTATGAAATTCCTTCACAACGATTCAATCTGCATAACAAATGTGGCAGAACAAGAATTAGGCTCCGTTTACATGAGACCGGGACGAAGTCAAACCGGAATGAAAATTGAAATTGTCAAAATGTTTACATGAGACCGGTACGAAAATCACAAAATTTTCAATTTATTCCCCTTGCCAGGCAATTTTTTTTTATATGGCTTTTGTTAGCATGTCAGTGTTCCAATGTCAAGGTTACAGCTGAGACCGGTCTGAAATGTATTTGTGTTTACATTCATCCGGTCTGAGATTTATTAGCTTGAGATCTATTGTAGGAATTTGACAGAAGGTCAACAAAACACAAGGTCTTCTGCACATGGGAATTCAGGATAACTTCTATTTGTATGAATAAAAGAATGTATTCATTAGTGCGATACGAATACGATTCTGGTCCGCATTACAAAATTGCTCAATCCATTTTTCACTACAACTTTTTTCCGATAATTCATCCGCCATTTCGCCAAGGTATTGACTGGTTTTTATAGTATGCCCCTTACTTTTATCTTCAATAAATATCACAGAATCTGTATCAAAATATAACACGCTTTCACCCAATTTGTTCAATACTTCGAAAAGTTCTAAGCGGGCATATGCCGTAACAAAAGATGCGATAATAACATTTGGATTTGACAAAGTTATTAGGGAATCTCCTTTTCTATGTGTTGTTCTAGCAATATTGTCGTTAATAAAATCTAAAGAGTTTACTTCTATACTATTATCATTGACCATCTCTAACAAATCATCTAGGGTGTCCACAAATGACACAACGGTCGTGTCTTCATTTTGGGCAAGTTTACCCCAAAGAGAGTTTAATAATGCTTTCATGACCGTTCTTTGACCCGGATTGTGGCATATTTTTTCAGCATCCATTCGTATACCCTCATGTTTCAAATAATTATCAATGTATGTTTCTAAATTCTTGTTAATAATCTTGCCCGCATTATCAAAACAATGTTTTGGAACCCCGCTACTCTCCTGTTTAAGCTTCATGAAGGTGTTGACATACGTATCAAATATTTTCTCTCTATTAGCATAGTGATAAATTTCATATACGTCTATTATTTTGTAATCGTGTTCTAAAGCTTTTTGTACTTCAATGCTAGCCCATGTACTATACAAGAACGTTCGTCATCATCATGTTCGCACTTTTCACAGCGTTGTTTGACACAAGTTCGACATAAAAGAAATGTTAATTTGTCAGTACGGCATGGTAAAACAGGAGACAGTAAATCAAATTTAAATTGGTAAAAAAGTCAATGTTGACGTCATGTTTTGACCAATGTTTTGCTGACTTTATTTTCGTTAACAAAATCACACTCCCATTTTTCTATTACCGTGTACCCATGCGTTCTAAATAGATTAGTTGTACGCCTCGTTCGATCCCTTAATGTATGAAATGTTTCATTAACAACACTATTAAGTTCGTCCTCATCATAACATTGTGTACAACTGTGAAAGAAGCACAGGCCCGGAGCTGGCTCTGATTGTTTGGGGGGGCACTCCCCAAACAGAAACGATAAAGTGGGAATGGAATTTTGCCGAACGGGTGGTGCGATCTCGAGGGACTCTCACTTGTACGTAGGTACTGTACATCATAAAAATGTTTGAGCTTCTGCCGAAACAAGGGGACCGTATAGATAATGGCAAACTGGGAATAAGTAAAAACAAACTGTTGAAAAACATACACACGACAATAATAACAATATACAATAGCCTCATTTATTGATAATATCAATCAGTTAAGTGCTATCATAATGCAAAACATGCACGACCTGTCAAATTACAACGACAATGCTCTTGGTTTCAAGTTCCAAGCTTTGTAAAAATCGTCAAAGGTAATGTCATTTATCAGAACTTCGCTTTCAAAACTTAGATAAGCTAGATTTGCTTCTCTTTCTGTTTTCATCGACCTCTGCTGAGGGGAATCAACTCTTGTAAGGGATGAAAAAACACATTCAACCCTCGTTGATGTGAAACCAGCAGTGATAGCTACTTTGTACAACGAAGATAGTACAGGAGCTCCCTTCTGGTGTTCCTTTATGACAATGTTAGCGACCTCGCTCAAATCAACTTTGTCAGCTGCATTCTTGGGCCATTCTTTGTCTTTAAAAACACGAGAAAAAATTCGGCACTCAGCTTCTAAATGTTCGCGTGATAATTTTTCTTTTTGATAGAAATCTCTTATCACTGGAATATTCACCGCGTACTCAAATAAGGGTATGAGAGCATCATAGTCAAGATAATTATCTGACGACGGCGATAAGGCCAGCATGGCTTCCCATAGTGCGATGTTTTCTTCAGAAAATCTTCGGAGGAATTCCGCATCCAGCAAATCTAAGCACTCGACAAAAATTTGACAGTTGGTGCGACTGTTGTTTGCGCTCGGGATACGGTCAGTTATTAAAAAATCATCAAAACGAGAGGGAACAGCAGTATTTCTTGTAGGTCTGCGTTGCACTTGCACGCCGTCGGTTGACGTGATCCTCACACTTTCTAAGAAATCATCAACCATCTTTTTAACTTTCTCATTCGAAGTATTATTTTCGCGTTTCGATTTGATGTCGTCTTTGACGGCGTTGACCACGTGCAATGCTGAAATAAGATTTTCGTCCGGGGATTGTAATTGTTTAACAACAATATCAATAGGTTTCAACACATCCATCAACATACAAGTTATGAAGACAAACACGTGGTCTTCATTATCTTCCATTAGGCTAAGGAGCCCTGTTGCCTGTGCTCGATCTTCACCAGATAACTTCTTATTTTTTGATGCCACCATAAGCGCTTGGATCAAATCGCCATAATTTTTGTGCACATGGCTGGTACTTTCAAAGTGACCAGACCATCGCGTCTCAATAAGCCGTTTCAATGCAGTGCCGTTATACGATTCTAACACAGCTGACTTCTTAAAGAACTTGTACAGGGCTGCTGTAGTATCAAAATATTCCTTTACTTCGTCAAGATTTTGCATGAGAAAGCTGACAACCAGGTGGATTTTGTGGAGAAAGCAGTGTACATATAACACATTCCGATCGCAAAAATCACTAATTAACCTCTGCAAGCCGCCGTAGTCGCCTGACATCACGCTTGCCCCATCGAAGGATTGTGACACAAGGCCGTCAACTGAAATGTTAAATTGTACCAAAGCTTCTTTGATGAATTTGAAAATACCTTTAGCTGAGCGATCATCGATTCCCTTGACGTTAATACATCGTTCCTTAACATTCCCGTCCGACGATAAATACCGACAAACAATACCTTGAATCTCTTTCCTGTTCTTGTCAGTTGTGCCATCTGCCATGATTGTGAACAGTTCTGCCTTTCGCACGTCTTCGGCGATTTTGGTCTTCACTAAGGAAGCTAAGACTTCGATGACTTCATTCTGTATGTCATGGGAAGTGTACTTAGCGTTTTTTGGAAGATTCTTGTGAATTTTCCCCCATTTTTCTTCCAGCGGAAACAGAAGTTGAGAAAAAGCTCTTAAAAACAAGCCATCTCCTGTGTCAATATCGGATTCATCAGAACCACGGAACGCGAGACCATTCGCACATAAAAATCTTGAAACGTTAAAAACAGCAAATAACCATTGCTTCTGATCATTATTTAATGATACAAAAGATGCTGTTACGGGGCAGCCACATGCATTTCGCATTTTCGCTTCTTCGTAAGCCTATGTTGCTTTCGAATGATCAATCGAGGATTGGTGTTGCTGGAATCCCTTTGCCTTGTCCTTAGCGTGTTTCCAGTCGCGATAGCCACTTTTAGTAAATACGGTCTCCGTTGGATTAGGCGAATATACTCTACACTGGAAGCAGAAACAAGCGTCCAAATCCGTGTTGTATTCCAACCACTTATATTCGCCATACCAGTTAGAATTGAAGCGTCGTATTTTACCTCTGAAACTTGTACCTGGGTATGCCTTCAAGTACGGTTGGCATGGGCCTTCCTTGTTATCAAAAAAATTTGGTTTTCCAGAATGGTCGTTTTGAGGCAGTTGAGGTCCATGTATGTTCTCCTGGACTTGCCCACGATCTTCATGTTGCAAATTCAAACCTGATGGATGGCTTATTACGGTGACGGTCGTGCCAGTATCTCGCAGCGCTTCACTCCTTGAATCTCGATGCTCATGATCGGTGTCGATAGTCGTATTAGTGCTGTCATCATCAATGGATTCACCAGATACCGACATTTCTGATATGCTCTCTTGACTTTCTCTTGACTCTCCTTCATTGTTGTTTGACTTTTTCCGCTTTTTCGAGAAGTAATCCAATAATGTTTTATTCATTTTTCACACTGACAATGTCAATGGAAGCCATATTGAAGTGCTTCCACCTTCCACAAATTGAAGTGCTTCCACCTTCCACAAAAAAATTTTACTTCCTTGGCGCTAGGGGGGGCCTTGGCCCCCCAGGCCCCCCCTCAGCTCCGGGCCTGAAGAAGCATCTGTGAAACTGATAAATCGTGTTATTTTCTTCGCAGTAGCCATCAACGATTTTATTTAATATTCGTTGTTCCCCCTCAACAGAAAGTCTACTACACAAAACTTTCCCTTAGCTCCTCTTCAATATTTCGCAACCAATATAATGCGATTGTCAATATAATGCGATTGTACTCTGATTGACATTCTCGCCATAACCCCCTGCGGGTATTTGTCCAATAATATTTTTATTAAGAAAATTGCTGCAACATATTTTTAATGCTAAACCCGCTATAGTATGACATGTTTTATCATAAGATGGAAATACGCCTGTAATGTTCTTAATCAATCTAGAAAAAATCATGCAAGCCTGTCGTAATATATCAACATCTAAACGGCAGTAGTAATAAATTGCATCCTTGAATATGTATGTTTTTCCTTTTGTGCCAAATACCATTCGTCAAACTTTTTGTGTTGTTTCGTACCCTCAACAGGAAGGTCAAAATACTCTAGACCAATCATAGGACCAACGTAAGTAAGGTCGGTAAAGTGATAGGGGTGAAATCCCTTCGCGACATTCTCAATACCCAAAGCTTCCGGAAATTTGCTCAACCGCATGCTCAAAAACAAAAAGCTATCAATAACTTTCAAATTTCATTCTTCCAGTTCCATGCACATAATTTTGTTACCATTCATTATAACTTTAGGCACAATTTTGCATTGAACTAATAATTCTTGTAATAAAATCACTGTATCAAAACGACCACCGTTGTGTGCAATCCAAAGACTATTCTTCGGCTGTTCAAACATGAAATCTACTAATTGATCTACAATATTTTCATTGTTTTTTTTCAAAAACATACTAAGTCGGTAACCACAACAATCGACTGTTTCCACAGAGATGTCACAACAAACATCGGTGGGGTGCTGTAAAAAATGCTCATATGTTTTGACAAATGGTTTCTCATCACAGTGATGACAGACTTTTTGAACAACACAATAAAACGGTATCATATAACCATTGTTATCTTTACTTGTCTCAAAGTCGAAAAAATAAAGTGTTGGATCAGGCGGTGTGCGCATAGCGACCGCAAAGCACACTGGGTCTAACTTTTTCAATATGGCGGAAAGCGTGGCGAAAATTTACTGAAGTTCCTTGGCACTTTACTGCAACATTAAGAGGTAAATACTTTAGTTTAATATATTTTAAGCAAATTTTGTCTACTATCTTGATATTTCCATTTCATAATGTGTATTTATTGCCTTATTTTATATGCTATTTTCGCCTTGGAAATAGGATGATATTTTTACGCTATTTTAACTCATGTTGAAAAGCCTTCGCAGCAACCGAACTACTGCTAAATTTTTGTTTCAACGACCTGAAACCTAAAATATAATCTTTAATAAATAGCCCAGTATAAACGCGCCCCAAAGCGCCCCTTCGAATACATTTTTTTTTTCGTTCTAAACATACACATATTTCGTAGGTTGAAACTAGATTATTTCATTATGGCAGCCAAGAGGCCTTCTGTCGTGGAAGGCAACACTCCTGGTAAACCATCGTGTAAGCGAACAGTAAAAGGCACTTCTAGGAAAAGCCTCTTTGGATCGGAGGACGATGAGATACGGAAGATACGTGCGAGTGGTTGGACAGAAAAGGAGGAATCCTGTTTAGTTCAATACATATGCCTGTTTTGGAGCAATGCTTATTCTGACGAATGGCCAACAACAAAAGATATGGGATTCTGGAATGCTTGTGCAGAGGCTGTCAATAATGCTTGCAACTCAACAAGAACAGATTTGTCATTTATTCAACTTAAAGGGCAGTTTACACTTGCAATTTTTGCTGCAATTTTTGGTGCGATTTTCTTCTGATTGATGTGAATGCCAGAGTGGATGAAGACACATATACTCAGAACATTATTCATTCTTAACTTATCTACTCATTCACATGCATCAGTTAAGTAGAAAATCACACTACAAATTGTAGCAAAAATTACAAGTCTAAACAGACCTTTAGACAGTCTTTAACTCTCAAATGCTTCATGTGGTTAATAAGGTTTATGTTTGGGGGCAGGGCTCAGTTTTATTTTATAAAACTACATATTGAGTTCCGGTGTTGAATGAATATCCACTGTGAATAAGCAGGCTGGTGAATCAGATAGATTTCTATGATAAATTTTTCAAAATGTATAACATTACTTTTTTCTTGACAGGTGGAGCATGTCGTACAAGGGTAAATAAGCACTTTTCTATGATAAATTTTTCAAAATGTATAACATTACTTTTTTCTTGACAGGTGGAGCATGTCGTACAAGGGTAAATAAGCACCTGGCTGTAAGGTACACAACATTGTCTCAGGCTGAAGAATTCTTACAAATTGATTACATGTCAAATGATTTTGGTTGCTACAACACTGAATGCAAATCACCATCTCCTAAACCAACTACCTCCATTGATGATCTCTTATCGACTTTATCCCCTGTGTTTAAATCCTCACCAATTCCCAAGCAAGAGAATAAAGCTCCTCAATATGTTGGTGATGTTGTCCAGACATTTTTAAAGTGTTTTCAAGGTTCGATGTCATCAAGGTTAAAAATGCAAATCATGAACTACATCTTTAAATTGGTATTAGTAGACATCGGTGGAATGGAATACCTAAACTATGTCTCTCCAGACTTTCTGAACATATGTTTCAGTTCAATGAAGACATTACAGGAGGAAAAGAAGCATAATCTAATTCTAGAGTTGGGCAAGTGTTTCGAAAGAACGGATGTGAATCGTCGGTGCAGAATGCCACTCGATAGAATGCCCTTTGGTCTTCTGGACTATAATATTCGGGGTTTTTCATCTAATCGAACAAATGCATTAGGGTATGAGGAACATTACGGTTCATGGCTTGATACAATGTTCTCCCAGTTTGGACATAAATGGTTGTGTCTTCATAGAGGTCCAGCATGGCAATATGAAGTGGATGAAGCAGACGTCAAAGCAGATGCCAACACTGCTGTTAAAAATAATGGAGATGCCAGCACTGCTGTCGAAGATACAGTAGATGCCAATGATGAAACAGGATTGAATTCACTCATGGAAAAAGCACTTCAGCAAAGTGGAATTGACCTAAACACCTATGATGGAGATGTTAATGATTTACATGCTGCAGAGAATATGTTTCAGCAGTCATCATTACAAGATGTGGATTACGATGAATCACTTGAAACATTGGAAAGCTCTTTTGCAGAATTGGAAAGCTCTTTGGCAGAATTCACACTTTCGAGTGGTTCATCGTTAGAAAGTAGTTCATCCATGAATGTTGGTGAGAATTCCAGAATATGTGTGTCAGGTAATGCCTTTCTATATAACTATTTGGCAAAGGTTACTTTCAGGATTGTATAGCAACACATTACCAGACTGAAGTTGGAATAATATAACTTATTGGATTCATATGAGCCCAATATTAAGCAGAGACTTCAATATTGAAGTCAAGACCTAAAATGTTGCCATAATATGCAAAAAGAAATCCAATAGGTGTTTTAACAATATCTAAGTGGTGGAAAAAACATATTTAACCCTTTAATGCGCAATGCTCCCCCATGTGTCCTACTTTTAAATAGTATTTATTCTGTTTATATTGATATTTATTTGTCAAGGGAAGAGTCTTGGACATTAATGGTTTAATGTTCCAATTCCTTTTCTTTACTTTGACATATTGTTTGTTGCGTATTTAAAATTGGAAACAACAGCTGAAATGATTTTATAAACTAGGAAAAAAGCCACAATAAGCTTACTGTCGAATATACTCATTTTTAGTACTCTCCTGTCCAAAATCATAAAATATCAGATCGGCATGTGACCATTTTTAAAACTTGTGACTGGTTAATTGAATGCGAAAGTAATACTATAACATATGATATTATTATTATTATATGATATAAGATATGTATTATTACTGTATTATTCAGAAGAGAGCGTTTCAACTGTCGACTCTGCAACAAACCAGCTGATAAATCTTTCACACTTATGGACCTATGCAACAGACTGTGAGCAGATTGAAATAATGCATGGAAATGCTGGACCGGTTCAAATGGAGAAGCACCATCAGGTTCGCCCAACCAAATCCAAAGTCGTGAAACGTCATCCAGCCATCTTCAATCCATTAAAAGTAAGATTATTGTTATATGTGCTGTGTAATGATTGGAGATTGTGCCAGATTATTGTATTTGGCAGCGTTTGGAATTGACTGCTATATAATGAGTTAATCAATCCATCATGACAGGCATCATGGCAGTTTTAAAAATTCGAGAATGGATTTACTTGGGAGTCAACTATTTTTATTCTCCTTTTCAGGGCAAGATTAATGTTGCTAGTTTGGGACCTAGAGCTTTACAAAAACGTGTCAAGTCTTCAGGTTTCTCAAGAACAGTTGATGTGCAAGTGAGTAGAGCAAGTGATTTAGTGTTTTTCCACCATTATTTCAACTCTAAAAAGTTACAGTCGAATCGGGTGTTCTCTTGCGAGCAACATTGCAATATTGTCCCACAATATTGCAATTTTGGTAGGCAAATTGCTCTGAGCAAATTGCAACCGACGCGAACAAATTGCAAGTTGAAAATCCACAAAAGATTTGTAAACAAAGCCTCTGATTGGATTATAAGAAAGAGGGAAGCCAATCAAATAGTCTGAGTAACTGGATTGGTGCTTCCCTCTTTCTTATAGTCTGTTTACAAATCTTTTGTGAATTTTAACTTGCAATTTGTTCGCGTCGGTTGCAAATTGCTCAGAGTAATCTGCCTATCAAAATTGCAGTATTGTTGGACAATATTGCAATGTTGCTTGCAAGAGAACAGTTTGACTGTAATTCATATTGTTGTCTGACTTTCTAATGTCATTAATGAGAATACTAATAACATAATATTTGCTGTGTTGGTGTAGTGTACTCAGGTGAATAAGATGCTTGTGATGTTACTCTGAGTGTGTATCCACACCGGGCAGGCTTGAAAAATATGCTAGTATTCCAAAGGTCGTAGGTTCGAATCCCACCGTGGCCAGGCATATTTTTCAAGCCTGCCCGGTGTGGATACACACTCAGAGTAACATCACAAGCAACTAATAACATATTTTGTAAGATATGTATTAAGTAAAACTGATGCACAAGGTCTGTAAGCTAATTTCAAAAATATACGGTAGATAGTAAGTATAATATTGTGTGTTGTGATGCAGGTTTGCAGTAACATTTGCACAAATGTTAAAATTCTCACTTTCCTCTTACTGTAGATGAAAGTCTTGAAGCAAGCTCAAAAAAGCATCAGTAATGGTCGGTGGTGGATCAAAGCTGATGCCTGTGATGTTCGAAAGGGACTGCGGGAAAGTATGCGGGGAATTTGGGAAGGTGACGAAGATTTTGGCGACGGTTTGCTGCAGCAAATGTATAGTGAATACAAGTCACGGAAGTCAGTAGTGGATGGTATAGGAACATCCAACAAGTTAGGCTCAATGTGTAGTGATTTGGAGAAAGTCAAGAAAGAGGTGTGTGACGATTTTGAGTTCCTGACAGAAGGAAATAAACAGTCCAACAAACTCTATAATCAAGTCCTCGAAAAAAAGGACATTCAACCGAAAAGAAATTGATGGAAGTCGGCTGGGATTCCGTAGAGTATATGGAGCTTTTGAAGAAGGCTAATAATTTAAAGACTGAAATTGGAAGCATGCTAGCAGAAAAAAGGAACGGGGTGAAGATTGACGTTATAGAGTTTAAATTAAGGATGAGAAAATATCTGAAAGATCTGTTCTTGAAGATGAGACTCCCCGCTAAGTACCTCCTAGTGTTCATGATTGCTGACAAGTTGAGGAACAGAAAACCTTACGCCGTGCCAGTTCAGTTTTTGCCTTACAAGTCAATAACTGACTCAAAATTGATTGAGTTAGAAACGACCTTGCAGCGTATTATGGAAAAAAATGGAATGACAGTCGTTGGTATGTTGTCTGAACATCTTACTGTACTTTCAAGGCACCTATTAATTATGCCTGCTTTTGATCTTTTCACTTTTTCAGTGGTATAGGAAGCTTATGCACAAGTTCCACTCGTGTGTATATATATATATATATATATATGCCAAAGAGTGTTCGATATCATATAGATAAGCAGAAATAGCCGTTTTACCTCGAAAGGTTGCAATCGAAACCATACTATTACCTATACAAATAATATATTTTATATATACATTTACAGGCTTCACAACTGATGGTGAATTTAATTCTCTGCGCGCATCAGGAAAGAATCGTCCAGTTTCTATTATTGGCCTTATTCAGGATGCCAGAAACAACGCTCGAAGTATGAGAGAGGCAACAATGACTAAATATTTCACACTGGATAGCAAAGGTAACAAATTGTAGCGATAAACAAATATACCAAAATACACATTGCATGGAGATTTGCTGTGGATTGCAGTTAAGCGTTTAATCTTATCTTACATAAATATTAGCAACGGTTGATCTCGTGCGTTGTTAAGTTAAATTTACAACTTACATCACATCTGACAATGTGGTGGGAAAGATGCGATTTTCACGGTGAACGCGGTGCTGAGTAGACATAGGGTTACACGATACTTGTTAAAATATTTATACTCTGACTCTGTTTTAACTTTTCCAACAGGAGATCCATTAGAAAGTCACCCTGGTGTACCTGTGGAAGACGTGCGTTGGCTTCGTGATTTTATAGATGATGGGGAGGAAAAGGTTGATTTCACTAAAGCTATTCACATTTTACGGCGAAAGCTTTTCCCGTTCATGCACAATCCAAATCCATGGGCTCTTCCGATCTACGACTAACTTAAGATTTCTTTAATATTTAGAGTGCCTATTTAAGGCAACGAATTGTTCTCGTATTCATGTTGATGTATAAGTATTGTAAGAACAAAAACAGTTAAAAAGAAGAGGAAGGGAAATTTTTCTGTCACTTCATTCGTCTATTACACAGCAGTTCTTATTTAACATTTCCAGGAAGGCCTGAAACTACAGTAAATGTTCTAAAGTCCATCATGGCCGTCTACATATTCCGTCTACGTGTTCGGAATCTAAAGAACGACGAGACCGATCCTGCCGATTTCAGTACTTTTCTGTACCAACCAGAAATGTGTACATCCAGTGAAAGGCTCCACCACCGAGAAGACCACAATCACCTGCTGAAACGGGTGCTCACCTGCTTGAGATATGGTCGTATTCCAGGCGTAGATCTACGGCACCTGAGAGAGGCGCTGCATGACCCATCAACCGCATTGACGTACAAGGCTCTAACTGGCAAAAACAAGCAATCAGTGCCAGATTGTGAGCGTTTAATCAGCACCGGCGTACTTTCATTCCTGGATGGCAAAGGCTACACTTCTACCGCCAAAGTCATTAGAATAATCCATAACTGGCATAAAGCAGTAGACGGAAGAGGATTATCGGAAGCAGTACGTTCCGAGTACTGCAAAGAAATGAAGGAATGGCTCTTAAGAGGCTGTCTCTCTAAGAACCGACCAATGACCCTCGGCTCATAAAATGAAATTCTTCGTTACTTTCACAATGAAATGTATTTACCCCAAGAACAAACAAACACTATTTGGAATTTTGAAATTTTATTAATTTTTAAAATTTCAGCGACTTTTCGGCCCGCGCCGTTGGGCAGAAAATCCTCTGCCTAAATCAGGAATAAAAATTAGCCGAATTCAAATACATATAATTTTAAAAGTATTCAACCAAATTTTATGATTTTTTCACCCACCAACGTGAAAATTATTCTACTTTGGAACTTACCTTGTTTTATGATACTTTTACAGAAAGATTATGGCAAACTTTAGCGATAACAAGCACCGGGTGTAAATACGGCTTTGTACGCATATCAAATTCGACTTTAAATTTCTCAAAAGTGGCACCTAACTGGATTCAGTGACTAATATGGTTAAAAAAATGGAAGTTTGAAGTACCCATATCCACAATAAAACTTGTAACTGACCGCAATTTGAAGACTCGACAGCCTCTGGAATTTGATACAATTTGGCTATTTTGTTTAGCTTCAATTATAGCGGAGTTGAGACGTCAGAGCTTCCAGTCACTTGTAAAATGCATTGTTGTTCCGTATTTTTACACAAGCCTTTAAATCATCGTAGTTAAGCGATTTTTCTGTGTTCATGAACATCACAAGTGGATTTAATTAAAAAAGATTTCGATCGATGCAGCGAGGTAAACGTGGTACGCTTTCGTATTAAAATTAGCTACTCGGGGAAAACCCGGAAATTATTGTCAAATTGTCAATGCTGATATTTATTAATTAATCTAAACCCTTATTCTGTGATCTAAACTCTGTATGTCTATTCTGCACGATTGGAAATGAATTTAAACTGGAAAAAAGACTTGATCTAGAAGACTACTATAGATACTGATTATTCAAAAAGATCCAGTTGCAATCGTGCATGCCAATTGAATTGGATTTGGATTATAGTTCGAATAAGGGTTTTGATTAGTGTTTCAACCAGGGCTTGGCTGAAATTTAATAGAAGAGTCATATATGGAATAGTCTCCAAATGACCCCAACTCTATCCTGAGCCCTACCCTACACCCACCCCACCTCTATTGTGATGTCATTTGAGGACCTTTATATCAACTTCACCTGGAATTGTTTAAGGAGAGCTAATAAAGGGTGAAGTTTATTTTCATACAAGAGTTTTCAAATGACGTCACAAAAACGCGAGGTTGGGGTAGGGTCGTACTGGGGGTGTGGGTAGGCCAGGGCATGTGGGGACTCTTATATGAAACGTCGACCAGAATAATGGTAGAAACTGTTCACGATGTATTCAAAAAGGGGAATGTTAATTAATGCGTAAATTACCCCAATAAAGTATAGTATCATGTGAAGATATAGTGGGGAATCGAAATTGTCAAATATATACTAATGGAATTGCTGTGCATTACACGGAAGAGAAGCTATAGAAACAAGACAATACGTCATGTTTCTGGTTTTCTGCTAATAAATGGCAGTAATTGTTGCACGATTAGACTGTTTATGACGGGAGTGCCAAAATTAGCAATGACTCTATTTTACCTCGCTTACCTCGCTGTAACGTTTACCTCGCTGCATCGAGCCAAATCTTTTCGAATTAAAACAACTTCTGATGTTCATGAACACGGAAAAATCGCTTAACGGCTTGTGTGAAAAAAAACAACCGGAACGACGGCGCATTTTACAAACGACTGGAAGCTCTGGCGTCTCAACTCCGCGATAATTGAAGGTAACAAATTTCAGAGGCTCTGGGAGTCTTCAAATCGCGGTTGGTAACAAGTTTTATTGTGCATGGATATTGGTACTTCAAACTTCCCTTTTTTCAACCATATTAGTCACTGAATTAGGAGCCACTTTGGAGAAATTTAAAGTCGAATTTGATATGTGTACAAAGCCGTATTTGGACTTGGTGCTTGTTATCGCTAAAGTTTGCCATAATAGTTTTGTAAAAGCATCATAAAACCAGGTAAGTTTCAAAGTAGAATAACTTTCACGTGCGTGGGCGAAAAAATCATAAAAGACATTGTGAAAGTAACGAAGACTTTCATTTTTTGAGCCTAAAGCCATTGGTCGGTTCTTAGAGAGATAACCTCTTAAATTCATTCCCAATCGTGCAGAATAGACATACAGAGTTTAGATTAATAAATATCAGCATTGTCAATTTGACAATAATTTCCGGGTTTTCCCCGAGTAGCTAATTTTAATACGAAAGCGTACCACGTTTGATAATACCTCGCTGCATCGATCGAAATCTTTTTGAATTAAACCCACTTGTGATGTTCATGAACACAGAAAAATCGCTTAACTACGATGATTTAAAGGCTTGTGTAAAGAAACGGAACAAGAGCGCATTTTACAAGTGACTGGAAGCTCTGACGTCTCAACTCCGCTATAATTGAAGCTAAACAAAATAGCCAAATTGTATCAAATTTCAGAGGCTGTCGAGTCTTCAAATCGCGGTCAGTTACAAGTTTTATTGTGGATATGGGTACTTCAAACTTCCATTTTTTTAACCATATTAGTCACTGAATCCAGTTAGGTGCCACTTTTGAGAAATTTAAAGTCGAATTTGATATGCGTACAAAGCCGTATTTACACCCGGTGCTTGTTATCGCTAAAGTTTGCCATAATCTTTCTGTAAAAGTATCATAAAAAAAGGCAAGTTTCAAAGTAGAATAATTTTCACGTTGGTGGGTCAAAAAATCATAAAATTTGGTTGAATACTTTTAAAATTATATGTATTTGAATTCGGCTAATTTTTATTCCTGATTTAGGCAGAGGATTTTCTGGCACAATTTGCTGGTGACACTGTTTGTATCAATTAATAAGAGGCTGTCTCTCTAAGAACCGACCAACGACTCTCGGCTCATAAAATGAAATTCTTCGTTACTTTCACAATGAAATGTATTTACCCCAAGAACAAACAAACACTATTTGGAATTTTGAAATTTTATTAATTTTTAAAATTTCAGCTACTTTTCGGCCCGCGCCGTCGGGTCACCAGTCTATATATCCGTAATACCATAGTGTTCTATACATTTATATTATACCTCAAATTCAAATTGTCCAATGAAAAAACAGCATTTGTACTATGTGATAATCTGATTTTTTGCGGTATTTCACTCAAATTCATGATTTCGCAAAGCAGCGTGAGATACTATAATATCCCACGGCAGATCCACCGTGGGATATTATAGTATCCCACGCTCACGCGTGGCACGTGGACACCACGCTCTGAAACAATATGGCGTTCGCGAGCAGTTGTTTGTAATTTCGTACAGAAGATTTGATTTAACCAAAGATTTTCAAGATGTATGTTACCTTTAATGATCCAAAGGATATGTGCTCAAATATTTTAAAGAGGAAACGTCAAAGATCAGGTATACATAACAAATTAAAAATTGTATTCGCGTAGTTTATAGTATTCAGCAAGTTTTACTGTCGATGCAATGAAGTGTTGATAAAATATTGCATGAATTCATTTCCTCAAGTTGATCAATTCATACGAATTCAAAGTTCTTTTTAGTTCCTGTGCGCTTCCTATTGGTCAATCGGTTCTGAAACGAAATCTAATTGGCTCATCTAAAAGTAACAGGAAGTTGATCAATTTTCTATCAAATGAATTGATCAACTTGAGGAAAGGATTTGGAGCAATATTTTATCAACCCTTCCATTGCATCGACAGTAAAGTTCATTCCGAACTTAAGCCCCGTTTACACTACGCTTAATTTTTGGTACGGCACGGATAAAATTGGTACCCGTACCACTTTTTTTGGTTTCAAAAACCTAGCAAAAAATAAGCCCCGTTTGCACTACGCTCGATTTTTGTACCGTACCACTTTTTTGGTTCTTGGACTAACTAAATAGGTAGTCCAAGAACCGAATAAGTGGCACGGGTACCAATTTTATCCGTGCCGTATCAAAAATTGAGCGTACTGTAAACGGGGATTTAGACTCTTGGTGAGTTCTTTAACTTTCGGTATAATATATAGACCTTCCGCTTGGGGGATTCGGCGTTATTTCCCTCAGTCAGGATGCATGATATATTTTCCGAGAGGCTTTGCCCCGAAAGACCCCCTCGCTCCAGGTCTATAAATGATAAATATTATTGTACGCCTTCCTAATTGCATTCAAAATACTCAAATTTAAAAAAAAACGCGCAAAAATTGTCAATATGTTATGCAAAAAAAGTTGTTTTGAGAAACATTGGTAATTTTGAAGTCTATATATATAATATTCTTTAACCGCTTTTTCATATCCTGCTTACTTCTACAAATATTTTGATCGAAAGGAATGAAATGTCCGCCTTCTTCAATTTTTGTAGATCTGCATCAGGGGTCACGCAATATTTTTATCTAGAGAGCCACTAATCATTTTGGCTCAAAACTATACCCTGTCTGCCCTTCGAAATATCAATATCATTCAAAACCTTTCAAACATCTGCCAATCAATATTTATTTTGGTCAGCAACGAATACTTTTATGTGGTTAATCCCTGTTGTGACGTCACCAAAACTACCGTTAATGAGATAAAAAAAAATTTCCAAGATGGCGGACATGTCATTATTTCAAGCGAAAATATTTCAAGAAGTATAAGCAAGATTTTAAAAATCGGGAAGAGAAGTTGATATATAGTTTCAAAAGTTCTTTCAAAATAAAAATTTATATTGCCATTTCCCTTTAATAAAAAATCTGAGATGTAGTTGATTGGTGACGGGTGAAGGTGTCTTCCAGCTATAGGTAGCGTGTTGGTTAATTCCAAAATCGCAACGGGAACTGCGCTTTTAAAGCGTAGTTCCCGCTGTGATTTCAAGCGTGCGGGTTGTAATACATTTATTATTGAATCGGTTCCTGATTATAAGATGAACATAACTAATCAAGAACTGTAGGGCCTTCGCTCGAAACGTCGAAATTCTCCTTATACTTTCAGGTAGTTGCATCCTACCAACGAAAGTTTGATATACCTATAATCAAGCACCACGCAGCATAAGGATTCCTTATAGCCAACCAATTAATGTTACTTCCTCCATCCTCAATCGAGACTTATCACCCATCTGAAAACGGGGATAACTTACACTAAATAAGCGAAGCAGAAAGGGGGTGGTTCCAAGAGAAACAAGAGAATGATTCGCATCGGGAAATGCCTCGAAACTGGACCTGGGAGTGGAACCCAGGTGGACAGAACATGAAGCGGAACAAGCAGCGACAAAAGTAAAATCTGACGACAAATGGTAGGGAAGCATGGGTGGGACGCTCGAAGCAGCTGAACGCGATTGCCTCGTTGCCAGCTCTTTGTTGTATATTCACATTATATATTCATACTACAACGTGTTGTGTGTAACATTTCGGGCGTATCTTAATTCACGGTTACTAACTCTTTATTAACCGAGCGCGAGGTCTTTACAGAGAAATATCGGACCGAGGTCCGATATTTCTTTGTAAAGACCGAGCGAGTGAGGTTAATAAAAAGTTTATTATGTTGCATTTATAGGCATTTATACTTGAAACAAACAAGAAATGCATGATTTGAAATGCATATTAGTAGCGTGATACACATTTGATCGAAGAAAACAAAGAATACCAATGTATTCCTTCTATTCCACTTCGCAGAATCTTATTAATAACAAATTAAATTATAATTTTCATTATTTTCGGGAAAATAATGGACCGCTGAAAGTGCTTCTCAGGCAATCACAGTCCGCCAATTCACCGGAAGTGATGCTTGCCATATAATAATTTCCTTTTATTGTGCCAATAAAATACATTTATATTAATGCTTAGTTAATTTATTTGACCGCTTATAAGCACGGCATTGTCGTTTTACGACTATAGCATACAGCTGTTTACTCGCTGGGGCACCTGTGCCCGGGCGAGTATAGGTTTCGGCCGGAGGGTTTCGGCAGACATTTGTGGTGGATCGGCAATCTCCAATCACTGATCTGTACTAAGATTGGATAACGCATCTATAGTATACAAAAGTGAAGCCGGAAGTCACCGGCCTCCACCCGATTCAAGGGTCCCACTTTTGTATAGATTTGTATTACAGATGGTAGTTTTTCGCGTTTTTTGCCTTGGCTACTTTCTGACCGGGCCAACAAGGGCAAATAATGTTAGCCAATCAGCGCGTTTGTTTACATTTTGCGTTCTTGACCAATCAGAATGCCTGAAATTCGAAACATGTAAACAAAAGGAGTGAGAAAATAACACCTTGTTCTACGCCCTCGGTGACATTCGATATTAAACTTTTTTCGCCAAAACTGACAAATTCTGATAAAGCATGCTTTCTTCTTTAATTTCCTCGGGGGGATTTTTAAAATTCGATCTAGAACGCGAAATATTTATGTTTGAATAACAGTGTTTCGACGCGCGTAAAATAGCAGACTCTCACTTGCACTATCTTTACACACACATAAAAAATTGGTAGATTTGGCAGTTTAAACTTATTTTCCCCACACCACAGCTGACATGTTTTTAAATATTACCTATCTGATCTCATCGATCTCATTTCGCATCGGAAATGCGTCACAACGATCCACGACTGACAGGTACAATATCGCATGACTCATTACTGTACATTAAAAGTACATATCCGGTTGGCAAAATGGCGATTGTCTGACAGACCTTCGCGAAGGGCTTAATATTTTTGCTAATAAACTGTTCACGAGGGTTTCGTTCTGTTCGTCTTCTGGTTCGTCGTCAATCGTCATCGGCTGCCTCACTTCTTGGTCGCTTTCGTCCTCTTCAAAGCAAGTCGCCGGAGCAAACAGCGTTAGTATTTGCTGTCTTTCCAAGAGCTTCAACGTTGCTTTACAAACTGGGCTATCGCTGATGTTGGGCAGGATGCATTTGATGTGGAACGAAGGTCCACAACCACGGAAAACGTTCCAAGTGGATTAACCTTTTTGCAGGCAGGCAAATCGCAAATCGGTGGAAATTTTAAAGGAAGATTTATATTTTATATTTACAGATCTTGATACATTTATAGTCAGTACGTCCTTGGAAATTGTTCCAAAATATGAGTGTGTACCAAAGTTAAAATATTACTCATAAATCTCTAGAACATGTTTGAATGTTTTGAATCACTGCAGTTTAGAATTAGCAGTCCTTTAACTCTTTTAAAGACAACAGAACTGGCAGCCATTGCACCCCATAACTATTTAGTGTACAATACTAGTCAATGTAATTAATTACTACCTCCCCCAACCCAGAAGTAGGCAGTTTTTACTTCTCAGCACTGTCACTATCTGTACATATCTGTGTGTAAATATCTGGTTTTGTCTCGGTGACCCTGCTTTGCCCCACACTTTGGGATTTGAGCAGGCAGGGATTTATATTGTCTGGTATTGGTACATAGTTTACCATAATCACAGGATATTATTGAAAGATTTCCCTACCAATTCACTGCCTTAAAAGCATTATATTATTTGCTCTGTATGTGTGTGTGTTACTTTAAGTGTACTCTGGTTCCAGAGGCTCTTTGCGAGGCGAAAGAAACAAGATGCGAGAACGGAGAGCCTCTGGTCACATCAGGGCCGTATCACCAGGGGGCAGTAAGGCTTATATGTTGAAAAAAGTTCCAAATATCCAAAGAATAATTAATAATGACATTCTAAAAATTGTAAATATAGTTTTCTTTAGGAGGGCAGTTTCCCCCTCCTGCCGCCCCCTCCCCTGTGCTGTGTACAGCCCAGGGTCACTGTCCATTGCGAATCCCACTTCCACACTTGATTAGGTTCAGCATTTGAATTTCGCATGTGATTGCCCATTTGTAAAAATATGCCAAACTGGCTTGGGAAATAAACATTGCTGCAAGCTAATTATAGCCTGTATTAAAATATTCTAAACTCAACCAAGAATGTATTACATGTCCTGCAAAACTGATTAATGTTGATATGTTTATCTCCTGAGAAATTTAATACCTTTTCACCTGCGGGAGTATTAATATTCATGCTTGGTTGAGTTTACTATAATAGCTTGGGGCTTTTTAATTGGGGCTTCGGTGGCCAAGTGGTTAGCGCACTTGCCTGTCACCTCTGAGGCCGCAGGTTCAAGTCAGTGAGAACTTTCTCAATGCGACTCAAACCCAGTCCTCATGTGAAAAGAATAAACCGCAACGCTCTGCCGAACGTCACAGGTTTTCCCCGGGTACTCCAGTTTCCTCCCACATGGAAAGTTGACAGGGTGGGTTGGGTAAAAAGGGCTCACAGTAATTGGCATATGCTGTTGTGGTGACCCGGCCCTATTTGGCATGCTAAATAGATAGATAGCTATAATTAGCTCACAGTAGTGTTTATTTCCCAAACAGGTTTGACATATTTTTACAAATGGCCAATCACATGCAAGATTCAAATTCTGAACCTATTCAAGTGTGGAAGTGGGATTTGCAATTGATATGATCAGAGGCTTTCCATTCTCACCTCTTGTTTCTTTTACCTTGCAAAGAACCAGGGTACACGTAAGAGTAACACACAGGCAGACCAAGTGCTGCAATTCAACTAAGGGCCTGTTTATATGCAGGAAGCCGGGCTTGGCCTGCTTAGCGAGACAGGCAGGTGGGATAAATTTCTCTTGTGTTTATATGGGAAAATTTCATCCAGCTTGCTGGTTTTGACAGTTGTTAAAAATAGCTTGCGGCGGTATCTTTCATCCCAGCAAACTGGGCTAGCCCGCTTGTGAGTGTTTATATGGCAACCTGGCCAGCCCACTTGTTCATATAAACGCACAATAATTTTTACTATAAAAATAACTACACAGCGAGATCTCGCTTACCGGGCTGTCTCACTTAGCGGGCCAGCCCGGCTGCCATATAAACAGGACCTAAGTACCAGTCAATATAAGTCCCCACTTGCTTGAATCTAGGAAGTGTGGGGTTCATGGGGCAAAGCAGGGCCACTGAGACAAAGCCAGGCATTTATACAATCCAGCAATTTTGATTATGCAGTGCTGGGAAA